TTCATGTTATTCTCAGCATCCTTCTGTAGACCGCCATCTCTGATCTCTAAAGTCTTTTCATCTATAAGGAAATTGTTTTAACACGTTCACAGTTATATAATAGGACTAGCAGCATGGCCCGGCGTTGCCCGGGCTTGATTCAAAAATCGTACGACTTATACAGCAATCGCTATCACTTGACTTAGAATATTTTTGCCCTTCCTTGCCTTTAAAGGAGTGCTCTTTGTCATGCTGATGTTGCTATATGCCTTACTTCTTGCCTATCTCACACTGCCAATTTTTTCTAAGCTCTATACTAAACATTAAATCTGTTACGAAAAAAGAACTAAACAAAATGAACACAAAACGATCAGCTTTTAAAAAAGTACTTGTAACTGGAAAAACCGAATGAAAAAAGAATGTTAACAACAAATACTTTTTCACACCCAACCCAGTTCTGCAGAATCAGAATCAATGTTGAGTTTAAGCAAGCGAATGAGCCAATTGGAGTAAAGTGCCATGCAGATTTAAATTTTTCCCACTTGTGACGAATGCAGCTATCGATTTTTTTGCATGCTAGCATGCTAGTTAACATTCATGTTAGTCAGCTGTTGGCTCTCACGCTGGCCAATAGAATTTTCCTGCCTGCTATTTGTGGCAGCCAGCTATTGGCTCTCACTCTGGCCAGTACAAAATGGCTGCAAACTACATGAAAACTACCATACAAGCATGAAAAAATCGATTATTTCCACTATCGATGGGAGTTGGGAAATGCAAAATCAGTCTTGGTCTTTCTGCTAACTTGGAGCATGTGCATGTAAATTTTGGTGCAAATCCGACAAAAATTGCGTCCGTGCATTCATTACACACACACACACACACACACACACACACATATCCTGCCTTTTATAGATAGAGATTAATATTACAAAGTACTCTTTTCTTTCGAGTGTTATTGAAAGATTTAAGACAATTTTTTTTTAAATGATTGATCTTGACCAAATTGGTCCCATCTTATCATTAGAACTCTTTCAAAAACCATATTTTGACTTCAAGATTGAAAACAGAATTTTTAAAAAGAAATACAAGGGAGAAAATAGTCTTATCTGATTGGGAAAACTTTTTTCTAATGAATATTTTGTTTATGAAACTTAAAAAATTAGCTATAAAGTATAACAAAAAACAAAATATGAACAGAATGATGTAAATTATCAAAGAACACAATGACTGGCACATTTCAAAACATCAATGTCATAGAACAATTGAGAAGAGAGAATATATATCATAACTGTTTTTTTTATGCAGTTCCTGAGAGAACACAATATATTATTTCAATGTCACTTTCCTCAATATCACTTTAAAACCTTAAAAAATTAAGAGATGTCAGTAAATTGTCCAATAAAACATATTCATAAAAAAATTAGTGAGAAATTTTATGAGAGATGTAAACCAAAATGATTTAAGGGAAGGTAAAGAATGTAAGCAAGAGAAAAGTTAAGGAAATACATAACTGGACGTTTTCACAGACACAGAAGGCAAACAAAGAATTTAGAAAATGCAGTAGGTCCTGATTTAAAACAGCTTTGTTAAATGACATAACAGTGTTGAGAAAAATCATTAAAAAAATATGAATCCTGTAAATAAATGGAAAAATATGATGATCTTAGGTTGAATTATAAGCACTTTCCGTTTTTGGAAACCAATTTTAATGATGAAAGTATCATTCTAAATACTTATCATACATGGTAGATAAGAATAAATTTGGAGTACATTAAGCTTATTTTTTTGCATGGATTAAAGGAAAAAGATTGTACTTCTCCATAATTTTGTTGGTTTGTTCTTACTCAACATGTCATATTCATTTGACCGTGTACTGTTTATTACCATTTTAATAACTGTGAAATGTTTTGATAGCAAAGACCTTTCTCCACTGAAAACCAGAATTTGTTAACTTTTTTTTTACACCAAAGCCTGTGAAATCTTATTCAAAGTGCTGCTTGGTATGTGACAACAAATCATTGTAAATAATTAATAGAATGTAAAATTGTACATTGTTTTTTGATAAACAAAAACGGAAATTATTTATGACTCAACCTAATAATATATAAATACAGATAACCTAATATGACTCAACCTAATAATATATAAACACAAATAAATATAAATTTCTAAAGAGTAAAATAATCATAAACACATGACAACAAGTGATGCAGTATAAAATATTTCGCTGAGTGCTAGTGTGAGTGCATCATAGAAGTGTTTGATATTGTTTGCTTTTTAAACCGAGTGCTGGTTGGAGGTGCTCCTTACAATTTTTGTATTGAAAATATTTAATTCCTTGACTGATTCCTGGTAGCAATGGTTGCTAAACGTGCACTGTGCACCACTGCTATCTGTTGGCATAAAATAAAATGGATAGAATAAAAATAAAACAAGACAAGTAGAACCAGAGAAACTAAATCAGGTGTTATGGATATTTGCAGATCACTCAAACTTTTAGAATAATGCCAACAAATGTTAATGCTAGCAGTCAAAGCTCTAGGCACCATTGGGATACAGAAGACAACTATCTCCTTTGAGAGGAAGAATTTACTTATGTCTCAAGAGTCTTGTAACAGCTCTTTGGAGACAGTAGTCAGTTACTGTTTAGTCTTACATTGGCAAGAATGTATACTTAAGGAAAAAGAACAGAAAATATATTACAGGGCTGGCCAGCCTCCCTCTTGGAAATGTTTACAAGACCTTCCTGTTATTCATTCCCTTCAGATACTGCTTGCCTTCATATATATATATATATATATATATATATATATATATATATATATATACAGTGTAATCCGGATATAAGAGAGATTTTCTCTGGTCCCAAATTAGAGCCTGTGTTAATGTATATAAAATACACCAAACCCGGATATAAGAGAAACCCGGATATAAGAGACTTCTTCTCCGGTCCCGACAACTCTCTTATATCCGTGTTACACTGTATGTGCCTAAATCTCTCCTGTGGTACAATTTGTTACCATTATTTATTACTGACTTATATATAGGGTATATTTAGCATATTAAATTTTTTATTTTTATTTATTTCAATTTCTGGACCCATTTCTATATGATGTACTCATCTTTTCTTCTGCTCCTGTTAAGATGTTAGTAGTGACATGTAGACAAAAGGGAAATGATTTTTACAGACAACGCATTTTGCCTATATGTGTTAGGTGGGCATCTTCAGGCCAGAATGAAAGACAAAACTGTCTGTAAAGAAACTGCATCGGGTTTTTTTGAAGAAAAGGGGGGCAACAAATTTACCTTATCAGATCCAACAGCAATTTTTTAAGGTGTTAGTGTATTATTAATATATTAATGCCTATACTGGACTTTGAAGAGTAGGGAAGAATAAGCTATTTCCTCTCTCTTACCAAGCAACCCAATAGAGAGCATATATCAGCAGAAATCTGAATGTTCAATGCTCTTTATAAAGATTTAAATTTGTTTGACAACCTAAAGAAAAGATACTGGTCTAAAGTTGAATGCAAAAGTTTCATACTAAGTCACAGTCAGTTTGAACACTTCAAAAAATAACTCAAAGTTAACTAACAGAACTATAGGCACTTAACTCTTGTTTATATAATTGTTCCTCAAGTAAAATTGCTTCCATTCTGTGTGCCCTTTATTAACTGAAGAATTAAATTTTGTTTCTACCTTTCTGACCAGACCATTCAGGATATCACAGACACTGGGCTAACTTCCTTAACCACATAAATGTATATATATATCTTTGCTTTTTATCATAAGAATTATGACCATATCATGTTGAAACACCAGTTCTTCCTTGATCATCAAAGTTAATCAAGGTTAAGTCTTATAAGTACCCAGACGGGTACTGAGGAATGCCAGGTGCTGTAAGCTTGGATGTGCAGGTGGTGTAATGGATAAAGACACAGAATCAGAAATTAGAGAGCCAAGTTCCAATTCCAGTTGTGTTTGATACTATACATTACTCCAAGTTTTAGTATGATTTTTAAACCCAGATTATAAAATGAAGGATCGATCTATGTAGTAGTATATTATTAATCAATAATTTTTTTGTTAAAAATGAAAGATCTATATATTAAATATATTATTCTTTTGTTAAAAATCAAATATCTGTCTATGTAATAGGAATATTATTAATTCTTTTGGTATGAAATGAAGGATAAATCTATTTAGTAATCATTACGTCTTTGTCTAAAACATCAAAGGTCATTTTACATACTAAGAATTAGTCACTTATGTGCCATGTGTGATACATGCTTAGGCGATCATGTATCTTTCGATACATGACTGACAAGGCAGATTTTTTTTCCCCATATTGTGTTGCCATTTCTTTCTGCAGTAGACCAGTTGGCATCCAAGGCTATAGAACCTGGTCTGTTCTGCTATTTGCCCATAAACTGGTGGGAGAAGAAGAGGATTCATACCTTTCCCAAGGGTATTAGCACATAAGTGAATGTAATGGATTTGACTGGAATTCGAACTCGGCTCTCCGATTACTCAATCCAAGCTACTATCCATTACTCGACCATGCCTCCTAAGAATATTATGCATTAATAGTTTGTTGGATAAAAGTCTGGATACAGAACCAACCTGTACATAAGTAAATATGGTATAGATATTCAAACCACTGATTTTTATAAGCAATAGATTTTTGGAAGGTATCATATGACATGAAAACTTAAGTAAATTGTAAACATGCATTAAACAATTCAGAGAGGAAAGAAAATTATGTGTTATGGAATTAAGTATTGTGGCAACAAGAAGAGCGAACCAGGCAACAATAATCAGAACAAGTGGAGTTTCATTTTCAAGATATACGTGAAAAGAGAAAATGTGCAAAGAAAAACAGTATTTAAAAAAAACCCAAAAAAAACTGTGTTAAAAAAAAAAAAAAAAAATGTGACAGTGGCAAAATGAAAGTTTATAACCAAAAGCCCAAATTTGCAGGAAACTTGCTGTCCATTGTCAACATGATGAAACATACTCACGTTCTTTTGGTTTTTTGCCATTTATGGACTTGCGGTACCATGTAACATTGGGATGTGGGATTCCAGATACGTTACATACCAATTCCACTGTATCGCCTTCCTTTGCTGTCTTGTCTTTGCTCGACATCTCTGGATGTAGGGTGGGTTGTACTGAAAAAAAAAAAAAGATACAGAGAAACTGCCATTAAAATTATATAAAGTACTTTTATGGCATTTGTTGACACAAGTGTAAAAAGAAAGCTGCCTGAAACTTAAACATTTTTCTCAAATCTTGCCCAATGTGTTCTTTAGCATTGCTGTCTGAAAGTAAGCATAGAATAAGCTACATGTGGGGTTGTCTTTTCTGACACTAATGCTACATAACTACAATATTAACCTAAGAATTTGAGTTCTTAAATCGCCATATCAAATCCAGATTCTCATATGGATGTCAAGCATGGCACCAACTTGTACAAAAATATCTAAACAATCAGCTATATACAAACATTTTCTTACATCAATGAATAAAAATGATATTCAAACTAAGGTACACCACGTGTCTTAGAGATGAGTATACTTCATCAGATCTCTTAGACTGACACTACAAAATCACAAAGAATTTTACCAAATAAATATACCTGCATCACTTGAAGACTTACAACAGCAGCAACTACTAAAATAATCAGCACATATAACTTCAAAAGAACACAATATAATCAAGATGTGGACTTTCTATGTTATCAGATATAGATATAAAATCTTCTGATAAATATATTTTTTTTGCAATGGACAATCTTCTCAGCATGTATTGCCAGATGTAATTTTAATCTCATTATTGGATGATCCCTAAATACAGCCGTTTTCACAGACAAAGGATTAAAAATTGGATCAAGCTAATGAATGCTCTGTCTTGAAGAAAACAATCCTTCATCAGACAGACTGGCACTCAGTCAGTTATGTGCCATGCATGATACACACTTAGGCGATCATGTATCTTTCAATACATGACTGACCAGGCAGATTTTTCCTGTATTATGTTGCCCTTTCTCCCTGCGGTAGACCAGTTGCCATTCAAGGCTATAGAACCTAGTCTGTCCTGCTATTTACTCATAGCTGGGAGGAGAAGAAGAGGATTCATACCTTTCTCAAGGGTATTAGCATATGTGAATGTAATGAATTTGACTGGAATTTGAACTCAGCTCTCAGATTCCAAATCCAAGCTGCTATCTATTACTCCACCATGCCTCTGACTGGCACTACAGAATCACAAAGATCTCTACCAAGTAAGAAAACCATATCACTTTAACCATTATAACAACTAAAATACATAGCATACCTAGCTCAAATGGAAAACAATATAACAGAGATGAATGCAAAATGTTTCCTTATATGGTATTGCCAATAGCATTCTATAAATTATTCTAATATCATTATCTTTGTGTTTCACTATCAGATTTCAAGCAGCATACTCTTCAGCCTTCACAGTGGTGTTTGAAATTTCAATATATTGTATTATTAATTATTATAATACTATATAAATTATTGTAATAATATGAATTGTTACATCAATCACTGTTTCAGTTATTTTCCCACCCCTATACCCAATTGTTCTCAGTGCAAATATTGCATTAAAATACATTCCAAGGTTAGTTAGCTGCAATTATAGGATGACTGTACTACCATATAGCAAACATTTTTATAAATGCATTTATAAAATAGTGTCTGCAATGATAGCTAGGTCTTGCATAACTGCAAGAAGTGAGATCAATTCTACTGGAAAGGATGTGAAAATTTGTAAAGCAAAAATGTGGGCCACCTTAAAAAAAAATGGATGTAATCTGGAAATCTGATCTACCAGACAACCTCAGAAATTCTTTTGCGCCACTGTAGAGATGGTGTTAATGTATGGTACCACTTCTTGGACATAGACTAAAACTCTACTCTCTAAGCTTGATGGAACCTACACTTTGATGCTGAGAGCTATACTTAACATCTTCTGAAGACAACATACATCTAAATCACAGCTCTATTGACCGATCCCTGATATTTCTACAATCTTACTTGAATGCAGAATGTGCTTTGCAGGATACTGCTGGTGAACAAAACAAGAACTTATGAGTGATCTACTTTTCTGGGCAAGATGAGTTAGTTGCCCAGCAACCTCCTTTATTGACCAGCTATCTTGTGAGCACAAAATGTCTCCTTAATGACCTCCTGACCTTGATGCAGGACCATAATGGTGAGCATTATATACTCATGAATGTCTGAGCTAACTCAGTCAAAAAATAATTGATAAAAAAATTCAGACATTTCTATTTTTGTTTTCTTTTTGTTGGAGTAATGGATAGCAGCTTGGATTGTGGAATTGAAGAGCTGAGTTCAATTTCCACTTGAATTCATTACATTCACTTATGTACTAATACCTTTGGGAAAGGTATGAATCTTCTTCTCCCACCAGCTATGAGTAAATAGCAGGACAGACTAGATTCTATAGCCTTGGATGGCAACTGGTCTACTGCAGAAAGAAATGGCAACACAATATGGGGAAAAAAAATCTGCCTTGTCAGTCATGTATCAAGAGATAGACGATCACCTAAGCGTGTATCACGCATGGTACATAACAGACTGATGTGGACTTATCTTAAATTCATGATATAGACTTATTTTATATTTAGTAAGTTTTTCCTGGAGTAGGTTGCTATTTCTTTCTGCAGTGCTATAGAACACAGTCTGTCCTGCTATTTACCCAGAGCTGGGTGAAGAAAAAGAGGATTCATGCCTTTCCCAAGGGTATTAGCATGTATGTGAAGTTAATGGATTTGACTGGAATTCGAACACGGCTCTCCAATTCCTCAATCCAAGACACTCTCCATTACTCCACTGGCTCCATCCATTACATTCACTTATGTGCTAATATCCTTGGGAAAGGTATGAATCCTCTTCTTCTCCCCTATGGGCAAATAGCAGAACAGACCTGATTCTATAGTCTTGGATGGCAACTGGTCTACCGCAGAAAGAAATGGTAACCTACTGCAGGAAAAATATCTGCCTCATTAGTCTTGTATCGAAAGATACATGATCGCATGTATCACACATAGCATATAACTGATTGATTGATCCATACACCAGACATATGACAGGCAAGAGGAGCAGAGTAAAGAGCTGGAAGAACTTGAACTTGGATTGGTTCTTTTTAATTTTTTAAAAAACATGTCAACTTCTATGGATTTTGTTATATCTTGTAAAAGATATAATAGACAAAGTAAACCCGAGTGTGGTTTTCAATAATAATTTTATAATCGGATGTAGGTATGTCAAAATACAGAGACAGAGTCAGGAGTAAGCTAACCGCAATGGTGTTAGTCTTTTTGTCACTCTCCTTACTGTTTCCTGTGGTCGTACTTTATCGGTCACCAGACCGTCCATTATCGTGAATGGGGAAGTTGGGTTATCTCATCACAACAGATTTTTAATGCCAAAATTTAAATATTTTATATGTAATTTTTTCATTTTTGTGATAATAATTGTTTAGTGATACAAGTCTTAACAATTAACCCATAGCTGAGAGAAGAAGAGGTAGTAGATTCATATTTTTCCCAAGTGTATTTCTGTGTAAGTGAATACATAACAGGAATTGGAACTTGGCTCCCTGATTAACAATTCCAAGCCATTATCTATTACATCACACACACACACATCCAAGCTTACAGCAACTGATATTACCAAGTCGTCACCCATATAAGTACTCAGTTGCTTAACTTTGGTGATTGTACTGGAACTGGTGCTTCAATGTGATGTGGCCATAAGCCCCAATATTTGGTCCAGTCCTTGGTTTCAGTAAATATATTTGAAGATTTAAATGTCTACAATTCCAATCAGGACTTTGGCATTAACATTTCAATAGAATATTTTGTATAAATAGAAGACAGAATTTGTAAACGTCTTTTCTATGTTTGTTAGAAACAAAGAAAAAAAACACTGAACTTTTATGTAATTATCAATTCTCCTATCTAACAGTGAATGCTGGACCATTTCCAAACATGGGACAATACAAATGCGGTTCTACAGAAGGATGTTGAGAATAGCAGAGACTGAACATGTGAGCAACAACAAACTTATAATTAACATCAGGAAGAGAGTGTTTAATTTTCTAAGGTATGTAAAGAGAAAATAGGACTGAGTGAAGGCAAGAGGGACAGAGGAAAACAATGCATAACCTACCTAGCAAGTTTGTATAAATGGATGGCAGAACAGGGTTTAGAAGAGATAACAAAACATAAAATTTACTAAGAGCTACAAAGGACAGGAAGTTGTTGATAGCCATGATCGCCTACATTCTTAAGCAAGTATATGAGAAGATAGAGTTTGAAACCGCTTTTCTATGAATGTAGTTGTTGTTTTTGACTGAAATTGAAAAGTTCAAATTGATTGGCTAGTGAATTTGCATCAAACAGAGAAATGAAATTATTTGTATGAAAATAACAGTTCAGATAGGAAATTTTCAATGAAAATATGCATATTTATTCATATTTCCTTACAAGCTTCACAATCTGAGTAAAAGTTTTTATGTTTGTTATGTATTTTGACTTAAGCATAATTATGATTTTCAGATATGTATTTGAGTTAAATATGAACAAAGCCCAGGAATAATTTGCACTTTGTTGTTATTTTGTCTATAAATTTTCTCAGTGTTGTTTGGATTGATAGAATTTCAGACCTGAATTGTTATGTTAAACATGTAATATGTAAATTTGCAACAAGATAGTGTATCCAAGTAATATTTATATGAATATCATTAAAGATCAGAGTTTTGGCAGATTCATTCAGCAATACAATAAACGATTCAGAAAACACGTTGTTGCATTTGTATAGCAAGAGAGATTGCAGTTTAGCTAAATAAATAAAAACTAAAAATAAAGGAATTTCTCAAAAACTCATTTAAAAAGGTAATACAAAAAGTTACCAACTGCAAATAAAAATTAAATTGAACAAAAAATACTTGGGAACGATTTTGAGCTGAAGAAGGGTGATTATGAAAAACGAGTCGATGAAGACAGAAGATGTCCAAGTCAAACAAAAAGAGAAACTTAAGCAAAAATCAATGACAGGTTGAAACACACACATAGAGAGAGAGACAGGAGAAAAACTTCATTTATTATTAATCCTAAAAA